ACGATCCGCAATGTTAGTGATGCCCCGCCAAGCTTAGCAATCTCCATCGGCATCTCTAACTAGGACCAACAGTCGATGTCGAGCCTTGACCAAGCAACCTCAACAGCATCCTTCTCATCACTAACTCCGTGGCTCATCACCGCACAAACCCTCCGCTCATAAGTCATAACCCCGTACCAGGCCTGGATTTCCCATAGGACACCACGCCCGCCGTCGCATTTCTTCGTTTCACCAATTCTGCATCTAAGAGTCCACGTTAGGAGCCACTCCCACTCGCTGCTCTCTCAAGCCACCAACCACGACGAGCCTGGCCCTCCAATCTCCACCATACCGCCTAACCATGCCGACAACCACGAACAACACAGCTACAGAGCATTTCGCAACCAGCAGACTTTTGCACACAAGTTCTCGCCTCGAATGCCGTTAGTCCTGGTGGATCCTCTGCCACAATCCTGCCGGCTGGTGACTGACTGCCAACAACCTGCGTCGCCAAACCGAGACTGACTACTCACTCCACCCAAGGCAATGGTGACCATTGTACATCTACTATACTGCACCTTGGGAAGCTCTCGACTTCCATTTTTGGTTGTCCTTGGCAGAAAAGGGAACGGTGATTATATGGGGAATAATGCAGTTGCGGCTCCTCCGGTGATTTGGTACGGAGGTCAACATCACTCACAACACAACATGCGCCAGTGCAATAAAGGGAATACTTGTCGAAGCCGCATGAGTGATACAATATACTCTTGGGCAGAAGATGGTGGTGAGGGCCCTGTTGCTAAGCTCCCAAATTATCTCCTCGGATGACTGACAGCGTCAATAGTCACTCAAATCTTGTACGACACTGGGTATGACAGCTCCGTCTTGTGTTTCACTCCATAACCCAAGAGTAAGGCTCCCTCGTAACCTCCAGGACCATACTAGCGGCGATGCATCCAAGTCCTGCAAGTTGCCCGATGTTGCCAGCCAACAGTAATGGAATAGCACGTGTGCCTAATGCTAGGTACCAGCAAGACGCGCGCATTACGACTACCTGGGTTCAATATTCGGCAGGCTTTGGTTTCGGTCTACCCGAACATAATAGGTGCAAACCAAATTCTTAATCCTTTGGGGGCTAGGATGTGGTTGGTTGGTTGGTTGGTTGGTTTGTTTCGTCTTACCTGCGGGATGTCAACCTCACAACGCCACTCAACTAAGTCACTGACGACCGATGCGACTTCAGGGCAGGCTCGCCCTAGTCCATAATTGACGTAGATCGTGCAATCGATATCGATCCTGTCTCAGCCGCTAGCCTGTCTAGAACGCATGCCCTAGCTCAAGACTCTGTCTGTCAGCTGTCAACTGTCAAAATGCCAAGGACTTTTTTCGAGTTGGCCTTGTCTCTCTAATCGAGGACCTAGGGCCTGTCCTGTCGATCGCTCTATTGTCCGGAGTACATACGGACTAGTACAACGGGATCGAGAAGCCTTGCAGCTCCACTCTCAAAGGCCTTGTTCAGAAGTGGAATTAAACCCGAGGCTTGTCTCACCACACGATCCTAGCTTCATATGTTGGCTTGTAGTTTGCGCCTGGAAGTAGTTGATTCCGTTGTTTGCGGAATTATCTGCCTAATATCCATCTCTTGCCTTCTCTATCCGCCCGCTTCAAAGGCGCCAAACACGATGTGACCAGCGGAAATGGGCTTGTAGGACACGATATCCCGTGCCTTGCCCTCTACGCCCACATGGCTTCCGTATTGCTGCCTTTGACACCGAGATCTCTTGACCACCTTTGGTGGCTACAAGCCCATTGATGCCCTGTGCCAGCACCTCCACGTCTGCCACCTGAGACACGGATCATGGGGCAGGCTCGTCAGAGATCGATCTCTCACTCCTCCTATTCAATCCGTTGTCCCGTATTCGCTAGACAACACATGAGCTTATGGAAATCACAATACAGAGTCTCAAGTATTTGATTGTTATTTCATTTCCTTTGTTTCCATGCCGTTCCTTGTCCAAAGAGACGTTTAATGCCTTGTATCTTTTAACCAAGCCGTGAATAGCCATGACACACTCATGATCCGTGACATCCTTGTCTATTTTGCACCTATCTTACTTCCAGCTCACTGTCATTACGCCGCTTACGGCATCAGTCTCTTGGGAATACGAGGATACTGGCTAGCCAAATGCACGCTAGGCAAGTTCGGATAGCAAGCGAAGACACGGTCAAGACCGATGTCACCACCACCGTGGGGAGGCACATCGGCACTTCTGAAAACGTCCACGTAGCTCCTTGATACCAGAGCTGCTGGAATACATGCCTTTCTTGCCGATTCGAGCCTCCAGCACATCCGCCAGGCGGACAGACCAGGTCTCCCGACCGCGCATGGAGAAGTCAAAAGCGTTCGTAAACTTGGGGTCTCTCGATCTTCGATAGCATAGAATGGTCGTGCGCCCTCGGGGAACTTGTCGAGAACGTAACGTCGGTCTTGTACTTTTGGCGGACCAAAGCACCCACAGCCTTCTCTTGAAACGTTGACATGTCCGTCGGAAACATTGCGGTACTCTTCAGCGTCTTGACGAAGAAGAGCCCGCCCCTCGGCAAGAGTGAGTCGAAACTCCTCCCCGGGCTCGGGTAAGAGGAATTCTTCTGAAGGGTAGGACGGTTCGAATCAACGCGATCTGGTCGGCGCAGTGGGTTGCGAGGCCCCGAAAGACGTAGAGACACACCTTCTCCAGCATCTTACACACCTCGACACAAGTCCTCGATTCCCATTCCGAACCGAGACTAGTAAAATAAAATAATACAGACAAGAAAAAGATGTCAGATAACACTTCTAGTAATACATTCCACCATCAACAGCGGGTGGTAAGAATGGGCCCGGGGGTAGACAAACCTCGGTCATATCTAAGAGTGTTGGAATTCTCAGCCCTGAAGACAGATCCAGTACAGCAGACGCGCTTTCTCCCACCGACAATCTCAAAATACTTGTAGAACTGAGGAGACTATGTGGGATAGGTCTGCTTCTCGAAATACTTCAACCCAAAGACATTAGAGCCGCCCCTCGAAGGCGGCACCATTAAGACAGAGAGGTTCGATCTGGCTGAAACCTTGGGGGCCGAGATACTGAGCAAACAAGTTGCACGTGGCTACGCGCACATCAGAAATGGTCTGCTGAACGGGAGGACGCTTATGAAATAGCAGGGTTGTCTAGATGCGTCGCCATGATGGCACTCGCCACGCTGTCATAGGCGTGGCCTCAACTGCCTTCCCGGCCTCTTCAGCAGAGACACCAGCGCCGCATCCTCGTCATCAAAGTTCGTCACGGCCTGACCTGAAACCACGAGCTCCGTGCCAGGAACCTCGGGACCAGGCGCAATGCAGGAGCACCTGGTGACGCGCAGCTCGTAGTTGGAACGCGCAACACTCTCACCGGCTCGAGGGGCTCTTGATGGTTTCCTCCGCCAGGACAAAATTCTCGAGCGTCAGACCTCTGATCCAATTCACCATTCGCGTGGAAAAGGTCTCCTCTCAAGATTAGCAGCCGCAACACCCTGGATAGCCCAGTTTGTCTCGCGCAGCTCAACAAACTCCATCCTTTGCACCCTGCATTCTCGCATTCTAAACCCATCCCCTAGCTTTGATCGGCTTGTCAATGTGCTCGTCTCCCACGTTCTTCAGATTGACCCTCTCAGCGTCCACATTTGCCTGCGGCATAACAGCGCCGTAGTTGTCCGTGGCCGAATCCTCAGCATTACCAGCCGCGGCCTTGGCAGCAGCCTACTTGGCATGGTGCTCTGCCGCGCGACGAGCCCTTTCCGCCTCCTTCTTGGCTTTTGCTCAGGCCTTTTTGAGCACCTTCTTGGAGGGTCCGGCTTCGCCCTCGCCCATCTCGCCGTCGACAACAACAGCAGCAGCCTTGGACTCTTCGGGGGGATCTACAGGGACCAAGAAATAAGAGATCAACGGACTCTGTCACGTACAGGGAAAATGGGGTTCGCGTGCGGTCGAGGCAATTGCAGCAGCTTGGGGCGAGCTGCATCGGTGGCAGCAGTGATTTATGATTAAACTCAACGTTTCTATCCGACGTTTAGAAAAAGTCAACGTGTCACCCCTCCTTGGCGGGACATCCCGCCAGGTGCCACCCCGTCATGACTGCACCAGACTCGATGGAGTCTGGTGCCGCTAGCCTCTTCGGTGAGCTCCACAATCGCCTTCTGTGGACTTCTTCGAACCATGATGTGACCCTCGGAAAATGTACACGGCACATGCAAGTACATATGCTGACTGCTGTACATGTGTTATATGTCCTTGGGTGACTCAAGGAATGTTCATTGATGAGATACGGAGTATTGAACCCAACTATTTATTCAGAAACCCGCATTTATGGATATCAATGAGATAGAGAATAGATCTTCAGTCTCATACGTAAGTGCGCAGGTCTTGGGTTGTTGCTAGACAACCAGGGTATCCATCCCTGTAGCAAAAAACTCCATTCAGCTTATTCGAGGCATAAGACAAACGCACGATAAATACTGTACATATCGACAATACAACGCGTACTTGATGGCAACGAGAGCCAAACATACTGACTACGGGACCAAGGTCCGTTAACGGCAAAGACAATCCAAGGCCTCAGAGGACACTGTCAGACAGTGCGAGATGAGAAAAAAACTCAATTATTTACGACTTCGTCCACCCGCAAGGGGCAGATTGCACGTCTATCAACTCCCTGGCGCAGCAAGTTAAAAAAAAAAAAGGAAAAAAACAAGGCGCGCCCTCAACATACTAATTCAGTGCTCGGTCATCTAACCTTCTGAAATCAAGGGCAAGTCAGACCACCTTGGCAAAACCATGCTTTAAACCAAAAAAGTAAAACTAAGGCTTGTCGTGATAGGATAATTAAAGACAAACGGATGGGGTATATCATAGTGAATTGGACCGGAGTGAGTACTTTTTCGGAGAAGATGACGGCTTCTAACCAAAATGCAAGGCCTCCGTTTTTTCGCATGTAAACAGGTTTATGTGGTGATCGCCGCGCGCGGCACAGCCAAGGATTGGTCGGTGTGGGTGGAAGGCAGTAGCTGCAATGGGTACTCCCCGATTTTGTTGGAGGAAGCTGGAGTATGGTTCGAGGCGAGAGAGTTCGTTGCCGTCGAGGTTGAATACCTTGACGGCGTGTTGAGAAGTGCCACTGTACCCCGGATGTTAGTAGGCAATCTTCGCAAGTTGGCCAAGCTGGTGAGGACTTACACTGCAAAGACGGGCAGATGTTCATGTGTACTCGCCGTCCGCAAGGTATCTCTTGTCGTCTGGAACGAATGCAACGGCCTATCCATCCGGATATCCCACAACTTCACTTTGCCGTTGCGGCTAGCACTGACGAGTTCGCGCTGTCCGCCTCGTTGCATGTGAACGCTCTTGATCCACTGTCTGTCTGATTCATCCTTCCACTTGCGCACCATGGAGTCCTGAGGCCGCAGTCTCGTGTCGAACACCCGGACAGCGCCGTCCCCAAAACCAGCAACAAAAATGTTTCCAGTCATTTGATCCGACGTCAATGAGGTGACGCACGATCCTGATCGCGCGGGTATGTCCATGACGCAGGTTTCGTGCGCCGCGTACCACACGCGAATAACTCTCACGTCTCCAGCGACGAGGATCCGGCCCGTTACCTGCTGCCAGTCAAACACCATGCCAGAGTTCACGTTGCTAGGGACCATATGTGTTAATGCTCGCCAAGAGGTTGCCAGTTCAATCTCCTTGTCAGAGTCGTAGTTGCGATATACGCGAATCACGCCATCTGAAGAACCCGTCAACAAAAAGGCTTGGTCATCCTCGTTGATGAACTTCATGTCGCTGATATTGGATCCTTGGGGATTGCCGTTTGAGAACCGGCTCAGACGACCTTGCTTCTTCCAGTCCCACACATAAACAGTGTTTCCATCATCCGACACAGCCAAGTGGTCCTCATATTGATGAAATGTCATCTTGGCTGGCTGAGCGCCGTTATTCACAATTCCCAGCTGGTTGTTCCATTTATGGGTACCAGCCATTTGTTTCAGCGGCTGTGTCTCTCTCAGCATGTTCTCGTTGCGAGCTCGTCTCCAAAGACGCTCATTGTACTCGGTGCTACCAGGTTCATCTGCCTCGCTAGGTTTCATCTGTGGTTCGCGGAAATATTCAATGGACCATTCAAGGAATCTGCTCTTCAGCGGCATGCTAGGGGCCCGCGAAAAGTCCCTTTCCTCATATGCCCCGCTCATTGGCTCCCGCGCCACATTATACGTTGCTGAGCTCAGGTCACTTTGTTCGGGGGGGGCTGTCATTTGATCTGGTGCGATCTTGGATGATGGTGAGCGAGGAGGTACCGGGCTTGCTGGTGTACTTGGCCGTGATCTCTCCTCGCCTCCTTTGAACGACTGAAAGAGCAGGCTCGCGGTCCTGCGCAAAATACCCGGAGAAGGGAGGGGCTGCGTTGCCTGCCCACCCACCATGTGGGATTTCTGAACAGCCTGTGCCGCATTTCTCAAAATAGCTGTTTGCCTTGCTCGTGTCTGAATCTCTCGCATCAAAAGCTGCGCTGCCTCGCCTACGGTTGAGTTGATCAAAGCATTGTGTATGTAGTCGACGATAATGGTCGCCTCTCGTTGGACCTCTGGGTGCGGGTCCACGCTAAGAATGAGTGCATGTTTCCAGCACGCCATATACACGGTATTGTGTGAGAGGCCATGGGCCATGGGTTTGATTGTCCCGTCTTTGTTTCGATTCTCTGGTCTTGCATAGTGCAGTCCCATCTTGTGGTCTTGGCCGTCGTCCTGCGGCGGGAAGATCAAATATTCCTTCTCTTCTTGAAGCTGCTCATAAGCTGCAACCAGGAACTTGCTCTCGAATCGAATCATGAAGTGAGACAAGAAGTTGATAAACTCCTTGCGAACCATGGGGCTGCCATCCGTGCCCATTTCTAGAATAGTCCAGGCAATAGACTCTTCAATACGAGCCACCTCATCCGTCAGATCGGGAATTCCCAAGAAAGTAGTCATTGCATGAATCATAGCAGCGCGGACTTCACAGCAAGGGTCCCGCATAAGATACGCCAGCTTGACATAGGCATTTTCTCTAATTCCTCTCCACTTTGCCTCTGGAAGGTCTTGCCATAGCTGGCTTATGCAGAGGCATGCCCATTGTCGAAGGAGAGGGTTGTTTTCATTTTGCAGATGAGCCAGGCAGTAAGACATGATGTCCGTCTGATTGCAAACCATCTGGCCATTCTTGTAATCTTTGCAGAGCATTGCAAGAATAAAGGCGCACATGGCCTTATGCTCGTCGCTGTCTACCACGGGAAGCCCTTCAGATGGCTTCAAAATCTGGGCAAAATAGCTGTATCCACTGTCCTTAATAAGGTCCTGTTGGCAAGATATGTCCACAGCAATCAGTCTCGCCCAAATAAAAACCATGACGGGTTTCAGCTCTGCAGCAGCTGACTGTAACAGCTTTAGAACATAGGGGAAGATTCCTATGCTAAGTGCCAGCTGAACCGACCAAGGGCCGAGATCCAAGAATCTACCAAGTAAAATGAGAGCTCGTACTCTGTGTTGCTGACTGAGCAAAACCTGCAAGACTACTGGCAATTGATCAGGGGGTTTCTGTGCCATCGCGTCGCCTCTTGTTAAATACACGTCGAAGGCTGTTAATTGTTCCGTAAAAAAGGTGGAATTCTGGTACTCGTATTCGATGCCTTCGCTCTCCTTTCTTTCAAGCATGGGCAACTGCGCCAGCGCCATGTCAACGGCTAAATCCCATGTCTCCCACAAGGGGTGTTGATGCGTATCAGGCAGGGCTGGGTACGATTGTGGATGACAGCCATAAACAGTCATGACCCTCTGAGCCAGGAGAAAGTTCCTGAACAGCGCAGCCACCATCAAGTCTTGACGGAAAAACTTGCGGAACAGATCTCGAGGCAGCGTTGTCCACGCAATGCTGTCCGTAATAGCTGTGAAGATCCAGTTGAGCTCGCCAAGGGGTGTCCGTCTCTCTTGAAGACGCCCAGGTAGTTGCTTCGCGCGTTCCGGAGTAAGATTGGTCTTGAGGGGATTTTGAAGTACAAAAAACCATAGCGCCATTTCGATGGGCGTTGTCAAGCATGCCGTGAATAGATCTGCCGGCAACTGCGGGTTGGTGGGGAGGTTTTCTTTGACTGCACAAGCAGCAAGGTGAATATAAGGCCGAAAGCTGGTCTTTTCATAGTGAGGGTCCCTATCCGCTGCTTCCTCTTCTTCCTCTTCATGTTTTTCAACAAAGCGGTGATAATTGTTCAGGATGTTTCCAGCCTCGGAGCAATCCCAAACAAAGATGGTCGGAGCCTGTAGCCATTGCTGTAAATCGTACAGAGAGACGGGAATGTACTGTGTATATGTCTTGTTAAACACCCAAATCTCACCGGATGCAGTGGGTTTGGGCACGCCATGACCGTTGTAGTGCAGCAACACCCGCTCATCCTTGGCATTTCGTCTTAAAGACACGCAAAACTTCTTGGTTTCCTCAACGGACGGATCCAGGTACTGTTTATAGCGAGCACGGATAGCCAGCGTCTCATACTGAGTCTGTAAAGCCTTCCCTATGTTCTCAAGGGCCTTCTGGATAGGAGGAACTGTGGGATCAGTCCAGGCCTCGAGTTTTGCTCCGGGGTTCGTCTTGAGCTGATCCGGGGGCTCGACTCCGATATTCAAGCACACCGCAAGGGCAGCAGATACAGTCTTAAGTCTGTCTCGTTGCCTCCAGTCTTGCAACTCATATTCTAGACGCTTCGGCTTGCCAGTGGTCTCGTGGCGTTTATCGGTAAAATACATGTACCAGTTCTGGGACGGCATGATTAGCAAGCGCATAAAGCATCTCTTTGCATATTCTTGGCTTGCAAAACAAGATCTCGGACGGTATAATTTTTGCCCATATATCCGAGACCACTGCTGATCATTTATTCACACGAGGGTATGGTATCACAACAAACGCCATGAACGGCACGTGTCCCATTCGCGCAACTCAAGAAGCGCCAACAGAGGTAGAGCAACAGCCCCCGAGGAGGGTGGGATGGACAAAACATACACTTGCTAATTGTGAGATGATGTGCTCAGACTGATAATGATCCTCGAAGCCATGTCGAGCCCCCCACTCACTAATCTCCTCTTCGGTATCGGACTCTTCGACAGGACGCGGTGCAAAGTCGCTCTTGGATCGTAGTAAAGGCGGCTTCACGCGATGTTTCTCTGGCCGCTCTCCCAGTTCATCTCCAGACTCGACAAATACAACGCCATTCTTTCTACCAGGTGCGCTGGAGGGGCGTATGTTGTCTCCGGTGCCATTGGAGAGGTCGTCGCGGTCGGGGCTGCTGTCACCTTGACCGCGGAATCTGGAAGTGGACGTCTCTCCATTGCCATTGCCATGACCGATGCCATTGGTGGTTGGGGCAGATGGCAACGACCCGTTCAAGTCGGATCGCAACGTCATGGTCGCAAAGCTTCCATGGGCAAGCAAGGATGTTCGTCTTGTCGCGCGGGCGACGACGCTCTGAGACGCGGGTTGCTCAAGCGTCAGATGAAGATGGAGATATGGAGGAGCTTGGTTGTTCAGCGGAGACGGACTGGGGATGGCAACGGAGCTGCGGGAGCATGTGGCGATGGGCAGGCGGCTTGGAGTGCGCGCGTGCGAGTGGGTGCAGCCAGCTCTCGGTTCGGAGTGGGTCTCAAATCAGGACATTGACCAGGCAAGTGCCAGGCAGGACTGGCAGCGTCGTGGTTGCTGCGCTGGGCCCAGACAACAATTTACGGAGTGCTGCCACTGACTGTTGGGTTGCGGTCAATTCCATTCATTCATCAGTACTCCGTATTCGTCACCAATCCACATCAAGTACGGAGTGTGGAGTGGCTGGCGGAAGACTAAATTAAAACTGTTGCCGGCCCGTCGTATAGGCCGCATCGCAGTGAGTCGTGTCCTGCGTTCAATGTTTTGAGGTTTGGGAACCCATCGAGTCGTCCTCGCACTAAACAGCTCAGGAACACAAAGTCTTGTCGCCTTCGCCTTCGCCATGGCAGAAATTTCGTCGATCGATATTTGAGCATCCTCGAAGAGCTTAGTTGGCAACTCATGCAACGGCATCAATCGGGCGATGTTTAGACGGCATCGCCGTGCGCCCAACCCAAGAGGGCACAACACGATCAAACCGATACATGCCAACGCCATGTAATGAAACGACCCTTGGATAATACGCTTTCTCTTGTCTAGGCTATTTCGCAATCGATGCTGTCTACGAAGCAGACGGCCCTTGCCGGCCAATATATATCAATGATGCACAAGCCTAGCCAAGACCCTTTTCCCCGGATTTCAAGACGCTAATTAGCTGCGGAGTACCACAGCTCACAACAACTAAACCTAGAAGATATTTGAAACGCGATACTCAAGTACCCAGGTCCTCAGTATGGGACCAAACATGAAGAGCTTTGGTCTTGGTGGCGTTTTGAAATTCTCCAAAAGCCAGTTGCCACGTGACCGGCTCAACGTCGATTTCTGCGGGCGTAAGTTATATCCGTCTCTCGGCCCAATTTCTCGGTTACACGTTTAGATCAAATTCCACAAACTCTATATATAAGCTCATCTTGTCGCCTGTTTTTGCAGTTGTCGTTCTTTTCCGTACACCGGCCCCAAACCCACAACACATCAATGTCATCCCATCCCGTCCTAGCGCAAAATGTAATGACGACCTGCTTGCCTGAATCGCAGCTGAAAATCTGAGCACAGAGCTCCGTGTTTTGAAACGGATTACGAGGTACACCAACCTCCCAACGGTCTTAGGGGGCGGCATAGTCAACCGCTACTCCAACAGTACTGTTCTCCGGGCCCAACCCGAATTCACATCACCTAGGGGTTTTGCTGTTTCACGATATCGATCTTCGAGACAAGAGGAGTGCTGGGAGCGGGAGACCCACATGCCGCCTGCTTATGACTGATGGTCCGTTGAATGACTGACTACTACCCGTCAGCGACTAAGTGGCTCGTCCACTTAGTCGCTGACGGGTAGTCAAAGTACGTGCATCTTGGACTAACGTGGTGCTCTACCATTGATCTTCACATCGACGCCAAGTCGCTGTCAGCCGGCTGTGTCGCTCGGACGAGCTTTTAGTGAAGCGGTGGTGATGCCGCCGTCGATGGCGGTAGCTGCTGCTTTTTGGCGGGATGCTCGACCACCACCTATCGACCGTAACGGTTCGCAATGCGCATAATCACTGAACAAAAGGTAATCATAATCAGTAGACTAGTATTTGGTACATTGCCTTTGGAAGGCAACAGCCGGTTGATTGCGACGCAATGCCAATCTATCCGTCAATGCCGTGTGACAACCCCTGCCAAGCAGGATAATTTTAGCTCCACGTCCATGAGCAAGGGGCCATCGACCACAATGGCTTGACTTATGCTAAAGGGGACCGGCATTCGAGTTGCTTTGGATTGTAACAGAGTTACGAGCGCAGGTTTTATTATCAAAGCAGCACTATTCATTTTTTACATCTAGTGCCGCTCTTGCGCCTAACAAATGCGGGCTGGCCAAGAACTTTGGTGTCAGTCTAGGGCTTAATTTAGCAACCAGAACAAAGAAGATCAACCCAGTTCGTCCGAGCCCAGCCAGGGACAGGGCGCGTTTTGCAAAGCCTTTCAAGGTGCAACTCCAGGACGGGGGGAACCGAGGACGTCTAAGGAGGCTTGCGGCTGTGATATGATGCAGCATTGTTCTCTTTCCTCTTCCTACGTAAAGTAGTCCTCTCTGTGTGCATCAGCCGCAAATGTCGGGATCAATGGAAGCCAATCAATACCATGAAAAACAAGCATGCCAAGCTCCAACATTGCCAGCCAAGTCAACCGTCAAGCTTGCGCTTTCGCACGACGTTGCCGCGCATCAAAGGGCACAAAGGAACGCATGCGAGCTAATATCGGAGACATGCTCCTCTTTTCCAAAAGAGATGCAGGAGGCGGTGCCTTGCATTTCCTACTTTTGAAGTGCAGCGATGATTTTCACCTTGGGCCGAAAAAAAAGAAGGATTAAAGTGCACCTGAGAACTTGCGCAGGTGGAAGTGGACGCGCCCAAACCCCGGGCAGCCCCTTATTCCCCCTGACTTTCACACCGAGCATTCATGTTGGCTCTCCATCTCCTGGCCGATGTTGCGAGAGGACTTGACAACAGACGGGAATGTCTGGTCTCGGGATGAATGCGGGCCAATCGATATCAGACAGGAACTTGGTGTCAAGTGTTACACACATTCATCTCACGCACATCCATTCCGGTCGAAGGCGGGCCGGACATTGAAGCAATCGAGAGCCATTACTCCGTACTGTGGTCGCCAACTGGTACCTGACTTGGCCATTGCAATCTTGTCCACACAGCGCCAGCTGTTACTGCACCGTACTCAAAAGGCTAACGGTTTCTTGATTGTAGCAAGTATTCGTGAGCTTAAACTATCAACAGAGTCAACTCGGGGTACAAACTATTACTACCTAGGTAGGTGCCTAGGTACCTAGGTAGTTAGTTGTAGGTTGTACGGACAGTTAAGACGACAAGAATGCTTGGATGAACAGGGTGCTTGGGGCTCAAATGTTCGCTGGACCAGGTGTCAGTGCCTGCAAGTGCGGACACGGCGCTACTCCAATAACATTTGAGGGGTACTTGGGCTCCATGAATTTGCTGGTCGTGCTGTGCAGCATCTGACGCACTGTCCAGCGCTAGACCCGCCCTGGCCAAGACTTCATCTGCCCCATTTGCCCCGTTTTTTATGTGGCTGCTCCGTCGTCCCTGTTCTTCCCCAGCCCTCGAGCGCTCATACAAATACTACTACATACATGGCTCGATCAAGATGCCCAGGTCAGGAGCTTGAAATGGGCTTGAATGCTGCAGGCTGGCTGGTGGTTTGGGTCGGCTAGTAAGGAGAGTTGAGCCATCGCGTTCCTGCTTTAAATGACATGGTTTGCCGCTGGGAATGCGGAGAGCGGAGAGTGGGCGACGTAGTGCCAGGGTTAATTGTTGATTATTGTTGATTCCTCATAGCCGTAGTCCGAAATCACCACCAACCTCTCTGGAGTTTTCGTTGGCTCGACTCCCAGCCCAGACCTGGCTCAAGTTCTGGCGTGCTTTTGGGGGACCGAATAGTACATCAGGTGCATCGTGCGGGTGCAAGCACTATTACAAGTGCAAGTTGGTCCTTCCCACGTTGAAAGCTTCGTCTCCTATTCTAGCTCCTGGCGCCTGGTCCTGGCTCTTTCTGCCTGGCCACAGACGTCAACTGGTGGACTTGCCGAACCATCACCAATCCCCCCAAGTAGCGCACTCCTTTCAAATGTTGCCTTACTCACCGGTTGGCCCTTTCACCTGGCCCGCCGCATTCTCAAGGCAAAACAACTCGCCCTCTGTTTATCTCTTCATTCCCTTCGTTATAATCGCTATCTTCGGGCTTCGTATGTAATATCCTGATCTTGGTCGACTCGAGAGCCAAGGAGGCCCCCCCCCCCTTTTTTTTCGCTGGCCGTGGACTCGAGCACCAGCACCAGTTGACCTCCGACTCCATTTGCCCATGTAGCCTCCCCTGACACGCCCCTCTGGAGTCTCACCCCCGAAAAAAAAGGCGGCTGGACTTGAATCCGTTGACAACCTCCCAACTTCTACTCCGTAGAGCTAGTCCACCAGGCCTGGATGCTTTACCCAGCCTTCTCCAGACTCGAGCGCACTAATTTCCTTGCTCCCCTCTGCAACTTTGCGTCGAGTTGCTGCCGCCGCCTTCGATTCTTGCCTGCTGTTTCCCGACGTGCAGTCCCGCCCGTATTCTCCGTCGCCAGACTCCAGACTCCCTTCATCTCGAATCGAACGTCCAGCATCCCACGTCCCGAGGTCGCAGCACTCGGTCAACAGTTCGGGCGTAGCCATCGCATCGCCTAAACAACTCTCAGGGAGCCTTCGGGCGGGAACCCTCGTTGAACGGGTCATTTTATCCGATCCAAAATATTCATTCACCACGATTCGGTTTCGAGCTGATCCCCTAACCTCACCGGTTAGCCGGTCCCTGGTTAACCATGGCGTTCTTATTCAAGTCCAAGAAGAGCCAGGACCGCGCATTATCGAGTCGCGATGGCAACTCTGGCTCACAGGGGTCCATTCAGAGTGCCAGTTCTCGCTTGGCCCGCGACGAGAAGAATGCCGCCGCACAAAGAGCTACTCCCACGGGAAGCTTGAATTCCGTCGACGAAAATGGTACTAGCAGCCCGGAACAACTTCGCCGGGGAGGGAGTTTAGAGCAAACTCAGCCATCATCAGATCTACCCGTGAGCACATACCATATTTCCGTGCATCTTTTGTAAGCGGGAATGGCGCTAACAATTTTCTCTCATGTTTGTCTCGACAGCTTCGAAACGGACCACCGGCCTCTAATCCCAATGCCTCTCTATACCCATGGTCGCAAAGGCGGTTAGCGTATACCCCAAACCACCCGAGCCCTTTCCCCCGATATGGCGCTGCCGTAAACGCAACCGCGTCGAAAGAAGGCGACATATACATGATGGGTGGTCTGATCAACAGCTCCACTGTGAAGGGCGACTTGTGGCTGATTGAGGCCGGAGGGAACCTCGCCTGTTATCCTCTAGCGACTACCGCTGAGGGCCCAGGCCCAAGAGTCGGCCACTCCAGCTTACTCGTCGGCAATGCATTCATTGTTTATGGTGGTGATACCAAGATTGAAGAGTCCGATACCTTGGATGAGACTCTATATTTGCTGAATACCTGTAAGCAGACTGGCACACTTGTCAATACAGTAGGCAGGATCTAACAGGCAACTTAGCAACGAGGCACTGGTCCCGCGCCCTCCCAGCTGGCCCTAGGCCGTCTGGGCGCTATGGCCATTCACTTAATATCCTAGGCTCCAAGATTTACATCTTTGGCGGTCAAGTCGAAGGCTACTTCATGAACGACCTTTCCGCCTTTGATCTCAACCAATTGCAGTCACCGAACAACAGATGGGAGATTCTCCTTCCAGGCGATACCTCTCCAAAGGCGCCGGCCGCCCGTACAAACCACTCTATGGTCACATTCAACGACAAGATGTACTTGTACGTATACCTCGCTTTCTTCCGCTTCTTAAAATAGCCGCAATGTACTTACGTGGGTAACACAGATTTGGTGGAACGAATGGCTTCCAGTGGTTTAATGACGTGTGGTGCTACGACCCAGCTGTTAACAAATGGGCTCAGCTAGACTGCATTGGCTACATTCCTGCGCCTCGAGAGGGACATGCTGCAGCACTCGTAGACGATGTCATGTATGTTTTTGGTGGTCGCACCGAGGAAGGGACCGATTTGGGCGATCTCGCGGCCTTTAGAATATCATCACGACGATGGTATACTTTCCAAAATATGGGGCCATCACCATCGGCTCGATCAGGCCACAGCATGACAAATGTGGGAAAATCTATTGTTGTCCTAGGTGGTGAACCGAGCTCAGCGACAACTACTATCAATGATTTGGGCATCATGTATGTTCTGGATACGACTAAGATTCGTTATCCCAACGATAGTCAGCAAGGTGCTCAGAGGGCAACCCAAGGAACGCGGAGGCCAAGTGGGAGTGAAGTACCGAATGCCGCCGTTCGACAGCTACCCGCCGCCTCGAATGCCCAAGATTCGCGGAAACAAGGCAATGCACCCGTCACAGCCGCTACCGCAACACCTACGACTCTTGCTAACAAGCCTCCCAACGGGTACCACTCACCACCCGGAGGTCCAGAGCAACAGAATTCAGGCGCTCCATCTGCTCCCTCTTCTAGTACTCCTCCGTCTATAGTTCCCAGAGCCGGTGTCACGCCGTCCCCTGCTGGTCCGCCTCCTCAGGGACCGACGCCAGCCAAACCTACCGTTGAGACTTCCGCCGTGGGGCGTGCCCGAGGAGCTTCCGCAGATCGTGCCGGAGCATCTGGTTCTCCACAGACAACAAGACCGCCGCAGGCCGCAGTTATCGCCAGCGAGGCTGATACAACAGCTGTCAATGGACGACGAACACCAACTCAGGCATCGTCCGTTGCACAACAAACACGGAATGGATCCAAGCAGGAATCGCCAGCCAGCGATGCGGGCAAGACCCATCAGAGGGGTCACCGTCACATGCAGGGTTCCGTGGATAGTTCCGCCGAATCTGGAGGTCGGGCTATTCGACCGTCATCGCCGCCGCCACCCACAAGACAAACGAGTAACCCTCTGTCTCGACGTTCGTCTGGCAGAAACTCCCAGACTGTTGCTCTTCTTAAGGAACTAGATTCGTCGAGAAACAGAAACGCGTGGTACGCTTCCGAGCTGGAGTTGGCGAGAAAAGCTGGATATGTGTCAAGTGCCACCATGGCTCCCCTTGACGCCAAGGCCGCCGAAACGTTTGATGACGAGGACCGACCGCTAATCGAAGCTCTGTTGGCTATGAAAACGGAACTGGCAAACGTACAGAGCGCAGTGGATAAGCAAGCTGTGGTGGCCGCCAAGCAGATTGCTGAGGCGGAGAAGCAACGTGACGCAGCCATTCAGGAAGCGGTCTACGCCAAAGCCAAACTGGCCGCGTATTCTGGAGGAAGTTCGTCGAGCACGCCTCAGCTGGATGGGGAGCGAGACGAGCCGGCGGACCGATCTGGTGAGATTGGCAAGAGACTCGCGACGGCACTGCACCTTCACAAGGACTTGAAACAACAAGTGGAAAGTCTCAGGACTGAATTATCGGCAGAGAAAAGTGCCCGCCAGCTAGCTGATGATACCACCTCTGCAGCCCAGAAGCGTATGGCCGATCTGGAGACCTACAGGCAGCAGACATCAACAGAGGTTGAGCGACTGAAGGCGGAACTACACCTTGTACAGCGGGAGGCCAGAGAGAAATCTGTCGCCTGTGCGGAGGCTGTAGCAGCTTTGGAGCTGATGAAAGTGGAAAGAGGCGAGTTCGAATCCAAATATAACGAGGCCGTCGGCTCATCAAAGGACCACAACGCAACATTTGAAACTTTGAGAAGCGCCATCGCCGCCTCACAAGACGCCAGATCACACTTGGAGAAGAAGCTCGAAGAAGAGAGACTGGCCCGTGAGTCAGTAGAAGACAAACTCAATAAATTGAAAATGGAGCATGAAGCTCGTACAACGGAACTGGTTGCGTCAACGCAACGACTACGCGATGCGGAAGAGCTGGCCGAAAAACACTCAAACGAGGCCCGAACTCATCGGGAGGCACTGCTCTCTGGCCTTGGCAAGATCACAACCAGGGACTTGGCGAACGGAAGCAAGGGTGATAGTGAGCGTCTAGTCGCACTGCAGAACCAACTTGCTACAGCAAACGAACTGGTGAAGAAGTATCAACAGGAGGCTGACACGGCAGCGGATAAACTGCGTAGCGCCGAAGAGCGAATCGCAGGGCTGGAGCAGTACCAGGAGCAGTCAAGCAGAGAGGGTGTGGCCATAAGAAGACAGCTCCAGTCTGCCTTGAGGGAAACACAGAGCCTTCAAGCCGGCCACACCGATTTGAAGAACAAACTGGCGGCTCAACAGCTCGAGACCAACGCAATGACTGTGCAACACAATACTCTGAAAGACATCCTGGCAGAACGTGGGATTAGTCCGACGGGTGGTGCTGTCCGCGGCCGTAGCCTGGCCAGTCCCCGAACTAGCTCCCCCGATCAAAGCCGCGTGCGAGACTTGGAGATGCAACTCGCCAATGCCACAGCGGCCCACGAAGAGAGCCGACAACAATTTGCATCTCAGCAACAGGAGTCGGAGATGGCGTACCGCGACAAACTCCAACAACTCGAGAGCGACTACCAATCGGCAGTGCATTATGTCAAGGGAACGGAAAAGATGCTGAAGCAGCTCAAAGACCAACTGACTCGCTACAAGACGGATAATGGACGCCTCAAGTTGCAAATGGAGGAGCTGCGAGGTCGACTTGAAGAAGCTGAGGGTGATGGGCAGCGATCAGGGTCAGCCCAGGCAGACTGGCAAGCCGAGCGAGATGCACTGCATCAGAGAGTTGAGGCCCTCGAGACGGAACTGAAGTCTTCTGGATCCAAGCTGGAGCAGAGTCTTGAAATGATGAAGAAGGAGCTGGCCGACAGCAAGAAGCAGCGCGATGAAGCTGTCAGGGATCTTGACCTGCACAAAAAGGATCTAGAACAACTTCAAACCGAAAACGCTCTTCTTGAACAGCGGACCAACGACGCGGAGCAAAAGGTGGCGCTCCTACTTGACCAGGTCGAGCATTCGGTTGACAACTATCGACGTCGCAGTCGGCAAATTCCCAACATAGCTATCGAAGGCACGAATGGCGGAATCCACGGACACACTCGCAATGAGAGTTCCGAAAATGAGAGCACATATGAGGGTAACAGTCTGGATGCTAGAAACAGCGCGGCGCTCGACAACCTTGCCAGCGAGCTTGAGACTCTGCGAAGCCACTGGGAAGCTACTAACAAGAACTACCGGTTGAGCACCAATTTCGACTTTGACTCTCCTGCGGTGGGCAAGAAGGCGAATGAGGGCTCAACAGACGGTGGTCTGAGTGAGAGTCTAGCCGATTGGAGAAAGAGACTCGACACTGAAGACCAGCATGCCGGCAGTGACAAGGATTAGAAGAGGAGAGCCTGGCTACCCGAAAAAAAATATAAAGGCATTCATGGCCAGAGATTTCTGGATATCGCTACGCATTCATGACAAAGACTATATACCCGGCCGTCGCTACATGTTAGTCTCGCAAAAAAGCAAAATGGTTTTTTTGGCATCCATATGTGTTGTACATTCACGCAGCCCGAGTATTCTTGGCAGTTGACGCAGGAAAAGATCGGAAGCAACCCGGAGTTTGGGATCTAATCTATTCTCGTTCTGTTTTATTTTTTTGCTATTGGTTTTTTGTCGAATTTTGTTACATTTATTCTATCAGGGGTTCGGTGTGAGTATGAACGGTTCCACCTAATAACGCTCGCAAAATGACAATGTCTAAATCCTATTGATGACAAGAATTCCTTCCCTTTCCACTACCCTTTTTATTCTGTACTAGCTATTTTTTGACATTTTGGAAGTTTTTTTTTTTTCTTCTTTCTTGCTGCTCTTTAACTTTACATCAAGGACTCAAGTACGACTTTGTCCGGGTATCTTCCTTATGATGGGAGGCAACAAGACAAAAAAAAGGGAGTGGTCTGTCGTGTAAACTTTAAGGTGAAAGTGTTGGATTGGTATTGACTTTGCCCAGGATGATGAGCAATTTGATATCACCGTTAATGCGTCGGTGGAGCGGTTGAGGACTCTTTCCCAAGTCTTTTGCGGGATTTTGCTTTGTTGTGTATACGATGATATGAGTTGCTCAAGATGATGAATTTGAGTCTGTTTTCCACATAACATGGTGACGTTGATGTGGCGTTGTACATGATGGTTCAATCCCGTCTTTGTCAAGTGCTGACTGCCATTGCATCACGTTAGTAATGCATGTGGATGTCGTGCTGTAGTATGAGCGGTAAGTGATGAATTGGAAACTCACTTGTACGCCGAGCCTATGTTCGGCACAGCTTCGGTACCGCTCCCATGCTTTCCAGACGGTGAGAATGAGGGGAGGGACGTTGACTAACACGCCCACGATGGCGACGGTGGCTTCGGGGGACAGGGACATGGTGCTTCAATGGTTGGATTAGTGAATGGGGGGCGTGAATTGTGCTTGCATCGAGTAGTTTGCATGAAATGAATGTTTTGAGCTTGTCCTCGTGAGCGATGGCCGCGGTGGAACAGAGAAGGGCACATCGTTATATAGTCGACGATGCAAAGCAGCGGCGGCGAGCACGCCAACACACAGAACTGGCGGAAGACATGGACAAGAATCGTGCGTCTGAACTAGATTACGCCTCGCTAGTCCTCCCTTGCAATGTCGCCCTCGTGCAGGCAGTCATCTCAACCGGCCAGTAGCTACCCCCATCGTCGGGCGCGTCCCTTTTGACAGACGTAGCCGTGATGCTTCGCGGGGCTCCCCGTTGGCGAATCAGACTGGCTTCTGCACCGCCCGACAGCCGGCGCACCCGGTAGTTAGATGGCGCTGCCTCGTGCTTGGAGTCTGGTGAGCCAATCGGCTCTCTGCAGCCTCACCTTTACCGACGAGTGCCTGGCGGCAGGGACTCCGTCCGGGGAGCAAGACACGGGTTGACGGCTGAAAATGCCTGAGGGGCGTCTGCATAAAGGCATGCATGATGGCACATCTTGTTTGCTGAGCCGCTGTGTTGGGGGGGTAGGGGTGAAGAGACACAGATGGAAAAGATGGGAAAGAGGTCGAGAGGGACATCAACCCCAGCCAGACTGACTAGGATCGGGCGACGACCTGCGACGACTTCTGCCCGTCATGGTATAAGTGCACGCGTGTAAACGTAACGTACCCATCAATGCTGGGCAAGTGTTGCAAGGAAAGGACAAACAGTATATTCCAAACGGCAATTATACACCTCACACACTTGTCATGGGAGCCTGAAAAGCCAATGAGCGCCCCAAGTCGCTATGACGATGATTAAATACGCTCCTTCGCCTCTCATCATTCATATACCATCGTCTTTTCCCTTTCCCAAACGCCGTGTCCTCCCCCACCCCTTTCCCACCATAGCAGTCAAATACAATCATCCAGCAGCCATCAGCCTCTTCTGAATCTTCAAACATCTCGCAAAATCCACCTTCCTCCCCTCCTTGGGCATGTACTCTCCGCTCGCAATACACAGCACCCTCATCTTGGGGTCGTACCGCAACCCCGTAAGCAGCTTGGGCGTGATGAGGAAATACTGGCTCGTGTGTTCGCGGCACGCAATCTCCACCATTCGCTCGTGAACCATGCGTTCGTTGCGAGGATCCATGCCCTGGTTGATCTCGTCCACCACGCGAAACGGCGACTGCGCGAGAGACTGGAGCGCCATGAGATAGAAAATCGTCGACACGGCTCGTTCGCCGCCGGATTGGCGATGAGCTGTCAGTTGTTGCAGCGCTTCGTTTTCCCTGCCAAATCCGTTAGGTGCTCTGTCTCGCTTCCAACAGTCGACTGGGCCGTGGGTGGCTACTTACCGAAACTTGACCATGATGTCGAGAGCCCACTGCGAAAAGTCTTCTTCTTTGTGGACGCGCACTTCACCCGCGCAGCTGATCTGCTCAAAGTTGTACGCAAAGGCGTCGTTGATTTGGGACACAAGCTCTTCCAGCTTGGGCTCCCATTTGCTCATTACCCGCGCAAGCTGCGTGTTCAATGTCTCGAGCTTCTCGTTGACTCCCTCCATCTTGCGCCTCAGTCGAGTGATTTCCTCCGCGCGACGTTCAAACTCCCGAATCACATTCGGGTTGGCGGCGTGGATGAGCTCGAGCTTGGCTTCCTCGGCTGCAATCTCCATTTCGACTTCATGAGGTGACTTGCCTTCGGCGAGTTGGGAATACAAGTCGCGTCTGTCCTGATCCCTGGAGAGGAGTTCCCTAACATCTTCGCCCAGCCGGCGCCCAATTTCCTTGGTGCGATTCGTCTCCTCGGTAGCTACCTGTACGTTCCGCCTCTCCTCTTCCAGCCGGGCCATGATACTAGCATTGCGCTCCTTGAGACCCTCAACATCGGAGTTCGCTTCGATAAGCCAGATTTTTGCCTCGATTAGAGCCAGGTGTGCTTCGCGAATCTTGTCGGTGAGCTTCTTGTGTTTTATAACGAGCTTTGCGCGTTCAAGGACCGCCTTGTCCCATTCATACTGAATCTCCTGCATGTTCTTTCTAGCGTCTCTCATGGCTTCCTCATGCATGGCCTTTTGCCGCTCTTCCGATTCTTCTCAGGCTGTTAGATTCTCATTTGTAACAGGGTAATTCATTTGTAGCATACCTATCTTTACGGGTAAACTCTGCCACTTTTGGAACTCCTTTTGCAACGCGCTCTTCTCATTCCGTAATGCGGCCTGTGTGACGAGTCAGTTGGCAGTTCTGTGAGGCAATAACCAGTGTCAAGCACCCACAATCTTCTCGGAAATCTCTTTCTTCTGCTCCTCAATGGTGTCGAGTTTCTGTTGCAGTTCGTCATGCTCTTCTTTGAGTGCGCCTTTCTCGCCTTGTAATTCCGTCAGTCGCCGTTCCAATTCCCTCTTTTCTTGCATGTCCACCGGCTGTGACGTCCAAAATCGTCCTTTCTGAATGTTCTTGGTAACCGTCGTCATGGCCTGGGGGCCGTATTCTCTGCGACGGCGGATCGTGAATGTTTGTCTTCCAGCGGCCCATTGGTTGATTTTGCCATTGTTGACGAGCCTGTCGTAGGCTTGCTCATTGTGGTCATTGAGAGCAACGCCCGACATGTGTAGTCGCTTCTCCGAACAAAGCATTGCCAACACGGGCCCCGGTCCGTCCAGGTAGTCAATGGCAAATCCATCCAATCCAAGCTTGGCCATTTCAGCGCGATCAACAGGAGCTTTAAATGCAGATAGAGGGTTTGAGCAGGTTCGAACCACAACCGACAAACTCATTACTCGATACAACTGGTCTGTGAGCTTCTTGTAGTCATTTTTTGTCTGCGCCGTGAAGCATTGTAGATCGTCAATTTGGAGGAGAGCCTGTATTTGGTCCGCGTACCGCTCATCCTTGACAGAACAGCTGATCATTGGAGGCCCGAATACCTCCTTCTCAAATTCACTCTGGTGTTCCTTTATCCATTCCCAGCCATTTGATGCTTCGGGAAAGTGTTTGCGCATAAATGACATTTGCTGTCCTTGCTGCGTATCAAAAGCCTCGATATCCGTCTTGATTTTGCGAATGTCGACGTTCATGGGCCTTGCCCGTTCTTTGGTTGCATCCCTGGCTGCTGACACCTGGCGTTGCTCTACTTCCATCTCTCTCATGTTGTGTTCCTCGGCACGAATTTTCTGGTTCCAATCCGCAGCGTTGAAGTCGGTTGGCCTGTTCTTGAGGTCCGCCTGGAACGCTGTGATTTTCGACTTTGAAGCGGCCAGGTCCTTTTTTTTCGATTCGAACCCCTTCCGCTCAGCCTCCAGCCTGTTGTTCATTTCTTTGACCAATTCTGCCGCGCCGTGGATGTCGCGGGCAGCAGTCTGTGCAGCATGCTCGGCATCTTTGAGGGCCTTCTCCTTGGCTGGTATTACAGCCCGTATTTGCTGAGCATATTCTTGTTTCATATTGACAGCCTCAAGGGATGGTCCGCTTTCGGACTCTAGCCGCTGCAAAGCTCGTTCTGCCTCCTTCTTCCGGTCTCTAGCTTTGCCGTGGTTATCTCGTGCCTCTGAGTACTTGGCGAAGACTAAGGCTGACTGCAGGTTCTGGACTTTTTCTTGGATTTCTTCTCTTTCGCGGATCCTATCCACATCTGCTTGAAGACCTTGCTGGCGATTCTCCAAGATTCTCAGTGCATCGACATCAGAGTGGACGGCGTCGGCCAACCCCTTCTTTTCCTTGTGCATTTCTTGCAGCTGGCTCTGCCACAAGAGCATTTCTTCCGGAGCTGCGGCACGGAGAGTCTCGTGGAGAAGGTCGACGGGCGTGCAAGCGGCGAATTCAACGACGCGGTCCTGGGGTAGAAACTGGCACAAATTGTCAACCTGGATCTTCAGCGACTTCATCAGCTCCTGTATTCTCTTGTG